CCGGCCTGTCAAGGGCCTTGGAAGTGGGGCAAAGGGGGAAAGTGCCCCCCCAGTTTTGAATTGCCCGCCCCCCCCGGATTTCTAGATCGATCCTCCTCGCGAAAAAGAAACGAAGGCGAGGTAGCCCGAGGAAGGGGCGCGGGCCTCAGCCTCCTTTGGCTGGTTGCAAACTCTGAGAAGAGCCCCACCACCTCCCGCGGGCAGCAATCCACTTTCGCCTTACAGAGGACCCCGGGGTGAGTCGGGGCTGAGCGGGTGGGAGTCTGCTGCCCGGGGGCCTGACGAGAACAGAGGCCTCCTCCTCCCGCCCCTGCCCTGAAAAGCAGCGCCACGTTGCAACGCGAGGAGGAGAGTCCCCAGCTGACGGAGGGGGACTCTTTCTTTTTTTCTGGTATTCACCCTCTTCCCTCCCCAGTATAATTGTCTTTCCAGCCCTGGGCTTCGTTTCTCGACTCGAAAAAAGTGACCTCACGCCCCACAGTCACTGCACAACTTTCTGGCCTGAGGGAGCTGCAGCTGCCGAGCCCTCCTCCTCCTCCTCCTCTTCCACCCGACGGCGCCCCCCTCTCCGCGCTTCCCCTCCCCGCTGGGCTCCTCCTCCTCCCCCCTGCCCGCCGAGAAGCGGCCGGCCTTTCTTTCTCTCCCACCCACCCTTCTCCTCCACGTTTGCAGCTTTGGGGAGCTGGGATTTGAGCGGAAGCCCCCCCCCCCTTCCTGGCGCTCGCTCCTTTGCCATGGACAGGCCAAGAATGCCGCCCCGGCGGAGGAGGCAGCGCCGCTGCTGCTGGCCGCTGCTTGCTGCCTTGCTGGTGGGCTGCGTGGCCTGCCAGGCTCCGCCGGTCCCGGAGCCCGAGTGGGACGGCAAGGACGTGTTCGTGCAGAGCAGCTACGTGCCCGAGCAGTGCCCGCGCGCCGTGCGCTCCGGCGACTTCGTGCGCTACCATTACCACGGCACCTTCCCGGACGGCCGCAAGTTCGATTCCAGGTAGATGGAGGGAGGTGGACGGTGGCGGCAGCGGCAGCCGCCGCCCTTTTCTGGGCTGGGCATGTTCGCCGAGGAGGAGGGAGGTCCAACGGTACCGGTTGGATTGACTCCTCCCGGGTCCGGGGGGGGGGGCTCTTTTGGACACGTGTCGAGGGTCCCAGGTGCAGTCCCCGTCATTCAAAGAGTACATGAAAGCGCCTGGGAGAGCAGCCTCCTAGCCTCGGCCAGCCTTTTACTGGGCATCTTGCCAAGGTTTCCAAAGGGATGGTTTCTTTGATGGCCACACGGATGGAGGCGATCTCCCATGACCTTGGAAGTGATGGGAGAAGTCCAAGGGATATACCCCTGGGGGAGGAGGAATTTCCAAGTAGAGAGTGCAAGGTGGCCCTGGTGGCCGAGAGGAAAACTCAGAGCCATGCCACTCCTTTCATTAGTTCCAACCAAAATAACACATCAGTTATTCTTATGAGCCTTAATCGTGGGTATGACATGACTTTTGTTTCTCAGTAGTACATACCTGTCACCATTTTTACATGTAGAAGAGGTGTGTAGAGGCTCCCACCCCCACCTAGGAAGATGTGCCTTAGAGGGAAGTGTTGCTTTGTGTGTGTGTGTGGGGGGGGGGGAGTAAACCAGAGGTGCACACCACATGGACTTGCAATAGTAACAGTAGAAGGATGATGCATTGATGTCCTAGCGGGGGGGGGGGACACTTTGGGGTGTTTTCACACAAGTTGTCTTTGCCCTCTGCCTTTTCTTGCAATTTTGTTTGCAGTTTTAAATACTTATCTTCAAAGGCTGTTTGAAGGCTATGATAGCCGGTCTAATGCAGCAGCTGGGTTGATTTCTTTGTGGTAGTGGAACTGGTAATGTATGGGCTTTACCACGACGCTTCCAAGATCCAGCCTCTATTTAAGTGAATTATTTTTAACTTGAAAGCCCTTTGCGTCCCTGGCCATGTACTTGAGGGAACCCCTCCTCTAAGTACCATCCAGTTCATTAAGATCTGTTACTGGTAATCTTTTAGTGATCTTTTTGTATAGGGGTTCCAGACTGAAGAAAAAGCGATTCTGTTGGTTTCTGTTGAAGATCCAAAACACAACTGCTTTATTGCATGATAGAATAAATAACCTTGGTGTAGAAATGGAAAGAAATAACAAAGATTAATCTAGCAGCAGAGGAGACTCTAAATCTACCTCTTTAGAGTGCACAAATCTCACTGATTTTAGGCTGGTGGCCATCACTAGACAGGCTATTATGCATGTCTATGGATCCCACTTCTCGCTGTGGTTTGCTGGAGCTATAAGACCTGGATGCTTTTCAGAGAGTGTTGGAAGAGTGTTTACCGAGGCATCTGGAAACTAGTGTATGTTGCAAATGTTGGTTGTGGTTCTCTGTTTAGATACATTTTTTAAAAAGTTATAACTAGTCCTGTTTTATGTACCTCACTTTGAGAGTATAACACTGGAGAAAAGTCAGAAATTCTTTTAAATTAATAAATCTTCATAATTCTGTTGAGGGCCTGGATGGAAGGTGGATTCGCACTCACATTGGAATGTGGATGTGCTTTATGTATTACTGTGAATTAGACATAGTAGACATCTCTTCATGTTATTCCTGCAGGGCTCAATCGTAGCATTTGCACAAATTGGTGAGGGAAGATGTCAGTTTATGAGCTGGTGAGATGAAGTGGGTGGATATAATGCAAAATTCCAAGTCATCATCATTGAAGTATTTTTACTGTGTGTGCAGTGCCCTTTGGCAAAATCCCAGAAGCCCCAGTGCATACCTTCCTGGGAGTTAGATTTGTACCTCATTACACCAGATAAGTAGCTTCTTCAGCCATGATCATAAGTGACATTTAAATCAATTTGCTTGAATGGTTGGCTGAGGTTATTTAAAACATTTCTTGTATTTCTGTAGAAAGACACCCAAGGAAGCTAATGTTCATTAAAAAACCCCACCTTGGATACAAACTCAAATTTTAGCTCTGTAAAGCAAATAGGAAAAAGCTACTTTGCTGCAGAATAACAAACATTCCCACATGACGAAGAGCAGAATTGGACAATATGTTCTAAATGTGTCCATGTAAAATGGAGTGGCTTTAAAAAGGGTCAGACGAATTCATGGAGGGTACGTCTGTCAGCAGCAGTTAAGCCATAAGAGTGGTGGTGGGATGGGACAAAGTTTTCAATGAAATACTTGAAATAAAGATTAAATGAATGACAAGTGACCTGGTAACTAACCTGTTCCCCCCCCTCTCTTTTTAGCTATGACAGGGGTTCCACATTCAATGTGTTTGTGGGGAAGGGGCAGCTCATTGCAGGGATGGACAAGGCTCTGGTTGGCATGTGCGTGAACGAGAGACGACTTGTGAAAATTCCACCCCATCTCGGCTATGGGAGCGAAGGCGTTTGTAAGTACTGTGCAGAGTGTGTGAAGGATGCCTAGAACAGGTGAAGATTATTTCAGAGGGTCGCTGTGTCGGCCTGAAGTAGGGCAGCTAGATTGGAGTCCATTAGCACCTCAGAGACCAAAAAAGCTTTCCAGGGCATGTGCTTTGAGCCTCAAAAGGTCATACCCTGAAAATCCTGTTGGTCTCTCAGGTGCTCTTGGACTAGAGTCTGGCTGCAGAGACGTTGACGTTAGTCTGGTCCCTAAAAGCACAGAGCCAGATCCTGTCATTCTGTTCTGCTATGAGAACACACAAACAGAACACCACCACCCCAAAAAAGTGCAACAGATCCCCAGGGCCAGCTTGTTCAAAAAGCAGAAGAGGGCTGCCCCGACAACAGAGTGAATGAACAAAAAAAAAAAATGGTGCAGTGGGAAATACAATAATTTTATTCTGTTACACTAACCTAATGTGTTTCTCCTCTGCTTCTTTAGGGGGGATCGAGGTAATAGTCCCTAGCAGTTCCCACAGCAACAGAGTTTCAGGGTACGCATCGGGGTAGTGTAATGGAATAAAACTATTTCCCCCCCCCCATTGCACCAGCGCATTCAAGGCCATGGGCTAAGGACAAAGGGCCAGGCTCCATTTGGGTCTTGCCCTTCAGCTCATTCCTAAAGGCCACACCCAGGCTGAACTACCTGCAGCAGGAAGGGAAACAAGCTCAGCTCCGATATTATGCTCCTGGGACATGTCCTCAAGAATCCCCCTCCCTTGCTAGAAGAGCCCTTGGCCATGCCCATTTGCCAGTCCCTTGCACCAGAGGAAAGCCGCCCTTGAGCCTGCCGTGGCGGAGAGGTGAGGGATATAAATCTAACAAATAAAATAAATACATAAAAGTGCCGCGGCTAGCGAAAAGGATCTGTGGGATCCAGTTCATAGTTACCAAAAGCTGTAACAAGTTCACCAAGCCAAGCCTGTGGTTCATGAATCTCTTGCTGCCCACAAAGAGGCTGAATTAATACAGGGAGAGTTAGAATTACTTAGCTCTATTTTTAAGTCCTGGAAATACGTGACACAATTTCTGAGGCTTTCCCCTCGGACCGTAGGAATCTTGAGAATCTCTGCTTTTATTCCAAAACGTAAATTTCCAACTCTTGTTATTGCAGGGAACATGTGATGGCAAAACTGTCCAGTATGTTCCTCTGGGCAGAACAAGTTGCTGTTGCTGTTCCGGCCAGCGTTTGCTCTATACAATGTGACACTTTAGGACTGAGAACCTCAAGACAGAGCCAAGGTCTTGGACTGAGGTTCCCAAACCTTTTTTCTGAATTAAAATCAGAAGGATGTTTCATTCTTACAGGGGGAAATAGTTTTGACTTCAGAGTGTGTAAGAGCAGGATGTTGCCACCAAGGCTCCCTCTAAGCTGTGGAGTCTTGTGAGCCACTGGCATGAAAGATGTGAGCGAGCGACTTGGCTGCTGCATGAATCAGTTTGCTCTGGAGCCCTCCTTCCTGAGCTAAGACAAAAAAATGTGTGAGCTGGAGGCTAAGAAACTGTGAACTAGCTCACACTAACTCAGCTTAGAGGGAACACTGGTTGCCACTCTCTGAGGAGCCTCCCCTTCATGTGTGCATGCCAATAGGTGCAATAATCAAATATAAGAGAAATAATACTGAGTAAGGTCTTTTTAAGGAGCTGCGGTGGCTCAAGTGGTTAAGACGCTGAACTGCAGGCTGTGGAAGGTCAGTAGTTCAGCAGTTCGAGACCCGGGGGCCGCATGACGGAGTGAGCTCCCGTCTCTCGTTCCAGCTCCTGCCAACCTAGCAGTTCGAAAGCAAGAAATTGCAAGTAGATAAATAGGTACCACTTCGGTGGGAAGGTAACAGCGTTCCGTGCGCCTTGGTGTTTAGTCATGCCGGCCACATGACCACGGAAACGTCTTCGGACAGCGCTGGCTCTTCGGCTTTGAAACGGAGATGAGCACCGCAACCCTAGAGTCGGATTCGACTGGCTTTCGAGCAAGGGACCCTTTACCTTTACCTTTTAAGGTCTTTTTAATTTCTTTTTTGGTCCTGATTTCTGCTTAAGGTGATAGCCGTATGAGCAGTACTAGATAGCTAGATAGCTAGATGTGTGCATGCTACTAAGGAGACAACTCAGGTACGCATGCAGAGGTACAGGGGTTTTTTTGGGAAAATATTTTATTGAACTTTAAAACAAATGCAGAGGGATATCAAAACATGTGACTATTAATACAACATATCAACTTAAAACATGTTTGATAGTTGTAAATAAAATGATACTGACCATAACAATTCCTCTGTTAAAAGGGAGCATAATAACGCCAAAAGCTTTTAAGAACCCGTATAGGAAGGCTTATTATGATATCCTAAAAGGGCAAACAGCAGCAGAGGTACAGTTAGCAGCCTCCTTTGAAGATTAGTAATGCTGTTGTGTTTCTATGTTAGAAGCAACTGAACAGTCTAATCCAGTCTGATGCAGAGGTTACCTACCACTTACAGAGCCTGATTGGAAGGAGGCAGGGCTAGAGCACTAAATCATGCAGAGATATAGCAGGCAACCTCCCTGTGATCCCAGAACGCACACCCTCATAGAACGGTTATTTACTAAGTTGTGCTATGACAGCAGCCTAGTAAGTTATCCCTCTGTTAGTACACAGTTTGGGAATTATGCTCTGTCTAGGCAGTAAAGAGGGCTCTGCTGTTTTTGCCGTTGTACAAGCTCTGGCCCAACCAAATGCCTCGCCGTTTGTGCTGGCCTCTGATAGTCGCTCTGAATTTGTGCTCTTGTTCCCCCTGTTGCTCTCTTACGACTTTATGTATTCCTAGCTGTTCTGTGACAGAAAAAGTTGCATTTTGCTTGACTTTTCCTCTCTCAGATGTCATGCCCGCGTAGGTAATACAAAAGCATTGTGAGCAGAGTTGCAACACCCTTCCAAATCCATTGAAGTCAGCGGGCTTAGAAGGGCGTGACTCTGTTTAGGATGGCACTCTCAGCTGTGTTATGGGCACATTTGTCTTGCTTGGGAGGTCTGAATGGCCTGCCTTTTGAATATAAATTAGCAGCAGAAGCTCCAGGGACAAGTAACGTTGCAGAGGTCTTTCCAGAGGGTGAGATTCCCTGAAGACCTTTGTGCAAGGGAGAAGAACTGATTCGGTTAAAGAAACCCACCTTTCGTCATTGAATACTTGCATTAAAAGGACATTATTGTTTCTTTATATTTATGCCCCAAGTGTAAGTGTGATCATAAGCTACCTCAAGTACAGTGAGTTACGACGGAGTTATCAAATAATATTTCAAAAGTGCTCTTGGTTGCAGTGTTTAGAGGGGGACCCCCTCAAAAATTGAGTAACTAGGAGGGAATCGGCAGGCCCTTTCAAGTCTCCAGCTCAAGCGTGAAGAAGCAGCTGCGCTTCCTCCGTGGCTGTCCTGGTCCATTTCTTCCAGAGTTCTCTCATCTACTTCTGTCCCTGGCTGGCAGTGGGAAGTTGGTCTCTGATGACGGGGCACCTAAGGAATTCTCTGTGCAGAGTTATAGAGAACAGGACCAGAGAGGAGGGCTTGCAGGGGGCTGGAGTTGCCCTTTCTCCTGCTTCAGCTGCAGATTTTAAAAAAGTGATGTGTGTTATCAGGGGTGAAATTTGGCAACGGTCACTTTTCTGCAGTATTCAAAAGCCTGTGACTTTTCTTTACAGAACGCCAGGGATCAACCTCATGGGTTAGTTGAGGCATGTTGAATTGTGATCTTTGTATTGTGGAATTACTCATAGTGATATGTATTGCGAAACATATTGTGTTTTTACTTGCAAGGGGTTTTTTTTGTTCTCTATTTTGTTGAATATAAAATTAGATGTAAATAAGCATAGAAATAGGGGAATTGCTCATATTCTGTTTAAAACGTGGTTGATGACTAGTATGTTTTTGCATGGTACTTATGCCATAGAAAACACAAAAACCCCTTTTAAACAAAGTTTATAACATAAAAATACAAACAAGGACAACGTCCCTTCATGCACATATTCAATGAACAAACAGGTTAAAATAATCTTATACAGTCTATTTATTTAAAACATGATGTATCCCACCTTTCTGCCCAGTTAGCACCCTCATAAAGACATTAAAATCAACTTTAAAAGGAGTACATGCACATAAAAGCAGCATTAAAAACACAAAAGGAGAGTCAGTAAATGAATTCCAGACAAAGCAGTAGAGTCTTCACCCCCTGGCAGACAACAGTGATCAAGGAGGATAGACAGTTCCCTGGGGAGGGAATTTTGTAATTTTTGTGTCACTACTAAGAGGTTCCTTTCTGGAGCTGCTACTTGTCTTCTTCCCAACAAGGTAACAAAGTAATCGTTAAATTAATGCTCTGTGAGGGGATGTGGAATGGTATGTTATAGCCTGAGCTCACTAGATTTCGGAAGCTAAGCAGGGTCAGTACTTGGAAGGGAGACCACCAAGAAAGACTCTGCAGCGGGAGGCCATGGCCAACCACCTTTGCTTTATCACTTGCCTTGAAAGCCCCTTGCTGGGGTCAGTGTAAGTTGTCTGTGACTTGATAGCACTTTACACACACACGCACCCCAACACACAGAGTGCTCTCTGAAGATACTGAATTTTTTTCTGGTTGGAATGTATTCTTGTGTCCACAGCTGATGTCATTCCTGCAAACTCTGTGCTTCATTTCGATGTGCTTTTGATTGACATTTGGAATACTGAAGATCAGATTCAGATTCAGACTTATTACAAGCCAGAAAACTGCTCCAGGACAATTCAGGTGTCTGATTTTGTACGGTACCATTACAATGGGACATTTCTAGATGGGACACTGTTTGACTCAAGGTATGGTTCAAAAGTTTTCAGTTTTCATTAATTATGTGTGGGGGATGATATGTATGTTATATATACACACATATACACACGCACACATACAGATATATATTCGCTCAGTGGAGATGCACACACACACATATAATTGGACTATTTGCAAAAATGTTAAAATATGGATGAAAGTAGTTTGATGGCAGTACTGAGAAGACCATCCCTGGGACGTTGAGGGTAACTGTCAGTCACAGGAGATAAGTGGATTAGATGGATGAATGGTCTGGCCCAGTGTCAGCCAGCTCCATAACATTCAAGCCGTGGAAACAACTGCAACTAAAATAAAATGTGACCCAAAAACTAAAGCACTGTTTCCTTTGTGTAGTTTTTGTTCAATTGTTTGTGGGTTTGTGTGTATGTATGTGTGTGTGTATATATCTCTCTCCTTATATATAATTCCATTTTCGAGTGGCAAAGTTCTATGCGTGCCAAAATCAGTTGGCTGCCTGAACTGCCACTCAGAAGGCACTGGCTGCATTGGCTGCCTGGGTTGCGGAGTCCTGCCCACAGAAGCGGCGGCCACTGTCTCCGGCTTAGTGTGCTTGGAGCTGATGGAAAGGATGGACGGGACTCTCTGAGGGGCTGGGGATGGCTGGGGCCTCCTTCCCTCTGGCTCACGTGCAGCATCAGGGGTGGGAAGGGGGGTCCTTGCTTCGGTCCTCTCCCATGGTCCCATCCATTCCTTGCACGCCCCATACATGGAGCGAGGACCTAGCGCGCAGCGGCCGCTCCCCCCCCCCACACTGACGCCGTGGCGGCTGCTCACCTCTCCTCCCCGGCTCTGGCCGCTCAAACTGGCTCCGCCTCACACGCTGGCTCCATTGCCTGCCTTGCGCTGTTTAAAATGGTTGCAAGGCAGAACGGGGTGGGGGGAGGATGGAAAAGCCGCGCAGCCAGAGTCGGGGTGGGGCCACCGAGGTGGAGGAGAGGGCCGCCCATGGCAGCGATGGTTTGGCCATGGCGCTCGGTGGGACAGGACAGGTGACTGCTGCAGGTCAGAGCACTCTCCCAGGCCCTCTTTCTAGAACTCGTTGCATTTCTTTCTGCAACAGCCCTTATTACTAGTTTATATATATATAGTTTGAAAGAAATAAAATCAGTATCATATAATCTATCCAAGACTTTCCATGTTTCCCTCTCTTACAATGGTAGAACAAAGGAACTGACTCTTAAGTAATTTGTTTTTATTTGTACCATCAGTCATAATAGGATGCGAACATATGATACCTATGTGGGAATTGGCTGGCTTATCCCTGGCATGGACAAGGGTCTCCTGGGAATGTGTATAGGTGAAAAGCGCATCATCACAGTGCCCCCATTCCTGGCTTATGGAGAAGATGGAGATGGTAAGTGCTGGCTTGGTTTATCCCGGCCAGCAGGGCTTCAAAATCTTCTTCCTTGTATAGTTATAGAATGTCATAATGTGTTCTGTGTTGGAAGCAAATGATTGACAAATAGTAACACATTCAATGCACTTATTTGGTGAAGGAACTTTTGTCTTGAGATCTCCATTGCAAATGGAGAAGTTTTTATTCATTATCTCTTAAACATCCATTTGTTTGCCTGACAAAGTGACAATGCTGCTTTCTCTCTTTCTCTTTGGCTACGAGCCTCCATTAACAATTAGTTCCTGTGGGAAGTGCCTTGGACTGGAAGCGTGAACACGTTGTGGTGTTACTTCTATCAATCTGAGAACAACCTTGTTACCAGGGGAAGAGAGTATTTTTTGCTGTTCCATGATAATAATCTGAATGGCATTTTATATTAAAAGGATAGGATAATGGCGAATATTACAACCGGATTTCAAAGAGTGTATATTCAGGGATGTTAAGAGCCACAGGCATCATGCCCAAACATAATTAGCTAAGGATGTCCCTAGACTTAGAAACAGGTGGAAAGCAGGAACAAATAAAGCAGATAGAATGTGGAGGACCTCACTCCCTTCCAAAATAGTGCAACCCCTTAACAGTCGGTTGATTTGGCCCCATGAAAGGGTGTTTTCTTTTGTGAGTATTTGTGTGTGTGTGTATGTATGTATTGACTTCTGGCGACCCAAAGTGGGGCTTGGATGTTTCAGAGAGGTGGCTTACTATTGCCTGCCTCTGCATCCCAGCCCTGGTATCCCTTGGAGATCTCCCATCCAAGTACTTGCCAGGGTTGGCCCTACGTAGCTTCCAAGGTCTGATGAGATCGTCTTGCCTGGGCTATCCAGGCCAGGATGCCCTGTGGAGTTTTTGTAATATTTTTTTACCTCGACAGATTCTGTGATTGTAATATTCATGAATCACCACCTTACGTAGCACTGAGCTCTTGAAATATCTGCTTGGAATGTTTTTTAACTAGTGTGTAATGTCAACAGTTGCAGAGTAGGACTAAGGCTGCAATGCTATGGATGCCTTTTTGGAATAAGCCTCCCTGAACGCAGGGGTACCTCTGAGAGAACATGCATAGGAGTAAGCTATAAGCATAATTAAGAGTCACTTCAGTTCTTCTTCTGCTAACTGATAAATGTATCTGCTTAAGTATCGGCAAGAAGCCATATTGTCTATTAGCATGGAAGGGACATGGGGTCCTGGGAGCGTGTGAGGTCTTGCATACATTTCTTACATAATTGTTACATTGACTTAAATGCTCACTGTCTACTTCTAGGTAAAGAAATTCCTGGTCAGGCTTCTCTTGTCTTTGACGTGGCTCTCCTAGACCTTCACAACCCCAAAGATAGCATCGCTGTTGAGAAACAGTATGTGCCTGAACCCTGTGAGCGGAAAAGCCAAGTGGGTGACTTCCTCAGATACCATTACAATGGGACACTTCTGGATGGCACGCGGTTTGATTCCAGGTGACCAGAACATTTGAAAAGTGTTTAAAACTGGTGCAATAATTTTCCTTGATTATCCTTGAAAGGAATTCTCTAGAATAGTCCTCCTTTTCCCTCTGTTTGCAGTCAGAGATTTTAAAAATGTGGAGTGTGGTGTTGTAGAAAGCGATAATTTTTTAAAAGCAGAAAGTGTGCAATCAAAGCAGTATAAATTCCACATATTTAAAAATATGCTCAAGTGCTCCATAGATTTCTCCTTTTTTGAGTAATTATTATGGTTAATGTGCAAAATTTTGCACTTTTCATTTGCTGAGTTAATGTGGGGTGGAGAAAAAAAACTTGAGCATAAAACAACCTGTACACTGGCAAATTAATTCTGTGTGGATATACCATCTTTTATCATAGGATGTCAAAACCCTTTAAGTACAAACTGGATTGCCTGTCCAAACTTTTAAGTGCTTTGTTTGCCATTGCTGTTGCAGTTAATTGCTTCTGCACACTACTTTTGGATGCTGATGATGCCCTTTCAACTACTTGTGTTGGCTGATGCAACAGGTTGCCTTATCTTAATGAGCAGGTAAACACATAAGTATCATACCTGCCCATTAAAACGTCATGAACTCATTTAAAAATGCCATTTTTCTGAACTCCTGACATGTGTTGCAAACAAGGGAGGTTTTCTGATGTGCACTGGTGCCTTGTCAGATTCTAATTTTGTTATTAGGATTTGAAACACGTAGGAGCCATCAGCACCTGGGAATTCCCAGCTATTGCCTAAGGTATCTGCTTATTTGTAGGCATGGGTTTGGATCTTGCCTACAATTTCTGCAGACAGAAGGATTTTCATCTGTAGGTGCAGTTTTCCCACCCACCCCTACCCCTATCCCGTAGCCTGAAATTTCCACCGAAACGTTGTTACTGGGTACGGATGGCCCCAAGGAGTAGCTCAGCAGGTCAGAGATCTCTTGGGGGGGAGGGAAACTGGCAAAAAATGCTCCCAAGCTATACAAGTTTTTTTATACAGGATCCAGCTCTGTGATTGTGATAGGTAGTACAAAGGGGGAATATGAATGTGGAACATGTTGGTATCACTGCAGCAAGTTGTTCAAGGCTGTTCAGCACAGACAGCTTTTTCCCACCGGCAGGCACTTCAGTCTGTTGCGCATTCATCAGCTTCCTTCTGGTTCCACTGGGCACTCCTCAAGAGCAGGGTGGTTGCAGAAATAAGCCCTACTGTCAGGGCTAGCAGGAGCTAATCTCCAGTATCCCTGATTGCTGCTGTTCATGGCCTGGGGTGGTAGAATGAGCTATACCATTTCAGATAGCAACTGGGGGCACTTGGTTTTTTTAAGTGCTCCTCCATGTAGACTGTGTGCATGTAAAAATAAATAGCACAACGGGGAAAGTTCTAGCCTAGCTCATTTCATGATGTGCCAGTTTTACACCTGTAGGGAATTAGTCGAGTAGGTGGAGGGACTTGCAAACTGTAATCCCTTCACTTCAGTGTGAAGTAGTACTGTCCATTCACCCACCTTGTTCTGCTGCATGTGTAGACCAGGCCTCTAGCCTTTCTAGTTCATTCATGTAATTTGCTTAGATAGTTTTGTCCACCCAGTCCCTAAAACTCTGTGTGGTGGGGAACTGGCTGGCCAACCAGCCCAAAGGACCCCATCAATCAGAAGGGATGGTGTAACATAGCACACTGTGTAACAGGAGCGGTGTGGAAAGTAATTAGGTGCGTTGCAAACCTAGTTGGCTGGGTGTGATTTCTGTCCTTCTGGTCCCTCCCTCATGGGTAAATGGTTGTCCCGGGGCCTGCTCTGACCCTCCTGCTTAAACTCTGAGCAAGCAATGAAGTCCCTGCCCTGAAAAGCCCATGCTAGGCCTGGTCTCATTAGATCTCAGATTAGATCTAAGCGGTGTTGCTTTAGTTCGTACTTGGATGGGAGACCACCAATGGAGTCCTGGGTTTTCTACACAGAGGCAGGCAGTGGCTAAACCACCTCTGAACGTCTCTTGCCTTGAAAACCCCATGGGGTTGTCATAAGTCAGGTGCGACTTGACAGCCCCCCCCCCAATATTAAACTACTTGTCATTTTGAATACATGTCTGAATTTTTTAAAAAAGCAAAAATAAAATCCTTTCAAGTACTCTGGGCTTGATCTGTGCAATGGATAGAACACTGGATTTGATTGTTGGAGACCCTATTTGAAATCCTTGGGCATGTTTCACTCACACATCCCCCCCCCACAGGCATTCCTCAGGACTGGTGCTTCTTATGCAATGGAGGAGCGCCCCTAGCTCCTCCCTTCTTCCATACAAGCCTGGTCTATCAGTGGTTCGTTCATATTCTTGTGGCCAGCTTTGTTGGGTTTCTCCTGTTAGTGTGCCGTGATATTGAAAGCTTTTCGAGGTTAGAGAGACAGAAGCTGTAGCTTAAACAGTTGCAGCAAGCAGTCACAGTAACCTGCAGTAGTATTCTTACAGTTACAGGGATGTTCGTGTTGGTAGTGATTGCAGTAAAAGCAGAGTTTTTTCTGTAGTTATTCACGGAATCACACATATGACACCTACATTGGGAAAGGTTATGTAATTGCTGGGATGGATGAAGGCTTGCTTGGTGTATGCATTGGAGAGAAGCGGAGAATAACAATCCCACCTCACCTTGGATACGGAGAAGAAGGAACAGGTGAGTACAACGTTTAATTCTGCGTGTTCTTGCATCAGTACTTAGTTTTCTTGGGGACCCTTTCTTACATGCCCAGGGAAATGCTGATTGCTACTTTGGGGTCAGGAAGCAATTTTCTCCAGGCCAATTTGGCCAGGGATCCTGGAGGGTTATTTTTTGCCAACTTCTGGACATGGAGCCGGGGTCACTGGGGGTGTTTGGGGGGAGATAGTTGTGGATTTCCTACATTGTGCAGGGGGTTGGACTAGATGACTGTGGAGGACCCTTCCAACTGTATGATTCTATGTTTAAATTTTAATTCAACATGAGGCCGGCGAATGTGCTGCAGTCATTAAAGGGTAGGACTAGGACCTGAAAGACCTGTATTCAGAAGAACCACGTGTGCCAGTCTTTGGAAGAAGAACAGATTAAAATATGTAGATAGATTTCTCACTAAGACATTAATTTATTTTAATTCAGATTATTGCGTCTAGAATGACATTAGCTCAAGAATGGAAACAGCAAATGACTGTGGAAAAAAGACAGTGAATAATTAAAGCTTGGTTTGTAATTACTGTGGATGAGATCTGTGATCAGGGCAAACTTGGACATTTGACAAATTTGTAAGAATCTGTTCTTTTATCAAATTTTGGAAGTGGTGTAATCCATCTAACATGGTAACAGAGGAGGTATTAGAATATACAAGAAGGGCCCCCCGCGATACTCACGGGGGGGAGGAGCGCCATGTGGAGGAGGAGGAGGCAGCCATAGGTAAGCCTTCTCCCCCCTTGGCACCAATGGTGAGGCCCATGTGGTTCCCGCTGGGTCCGCCAAGCCTTCTCCCCCCAGCATCAATAGCAAAAGCCCGCGCGGCTCCCAGCCACCGGGTCCACTAAGCCTTCTGCCCTGCCCCCCCCGGCACCAGTGGCGAGGCCCGCGTGGCTCCCGCCGGGTCCTCCAAGCCTCCCCCCCGGCACTAATGGCGAGGCTTGCATGGCTCCCACCGGGTCCACCAAGCCTTCTCCCCCGTCCCCCAGCACCAATGGCGAGGCCCGCGTGGCTCCCAACTGTCGGGCCCATCAAGCTTTTTCCTTCCCCCCCTGCGGTGGCGGCGGCAGCAGCAGTGGCGAGGCCTGAGTGGCCGGCCCGCCAAGCCTTCTCCCGCCCTCCCCAGTGGTGGTGGCGGCGGCGAGGCAGTTCTCAGAGTGTTCTCTGCGCATGCGCAGGGAACGCTCTTTTACTTTTGGGGGGATTTAAGTATCCCCGCTATAGTTTTTTATAGATTTCAGATTTTTCTACACTTCTGGGGATTGCCCCAAATGTGCAGGAAAATCTCTTTGTCCCCTAGGTGCCCCCAGTGTGTAGATTTAGATATCCGCACGCAGGGGGCGCCTTGGCTATTAGTATATAGATTTAATAATGTAACTATTCACTTATCTTGGCATTCTTTTACTTTTTCATTTAAGTGAATAACTCTGTGTTTTTATGTTCTATATACTGGGTTGGATCCAGCCGCCTTTTTCACTCTGTCTCACCCAGTTCCTCTCCATATTGCACTCCTCATCCCACATGGCTTTTGTACGTAAAAATCCTTGGTTCTCAGCATAGCCGTTTATTTATATTTATAATTTCAATTTATAGCCCACCCTCCCCGCAAAGCGGGCTCAGGGCGGCTCACAGATAGAGTAATGAGAGGGGATGCATTCTTCCTTTTTTTAGCACCACTAAAAGTGATTGGATCCAACCCTCTATGAATACAATGTATTTTCATTGTAGAATTCTAGTCTAAGGCTACTGTGCATTTTGTGCGCGCGCGCATGTATATTGATTGAAATTCTTTATGCATGTCTTTATTGATTGATTTTTTTTAAAAAAACGCATAGCTAGAGAGAGGTTCTTTCACAAGCATCAGTGTCCTGCAGTTCAGTTAAAATCTAGAAGCAGGATCATATTACTTTTAAGGACAACCACAGTACATGGTATATATGTTTATGCTTCTAAAGGGAGCTATTTTCAAGTATAATGAAGTGTTAGTCCCAGTGCAAGATCAGAGACTGAAATAACTTCAAAGAGACTGTAGCACAACCACACCCCTAGACACTTAACACTTCTATACACATGCTACATTGATCAGTTGGTATTGCTTACTGGAAGTATGTTTTCTGCTACTATAGTGGTAGATTGAGATTGCCCAGTCATAACAAGGGATATTTTTTTTAATAAATCAGGGGTCAGTGAATAATACTAAGGCCAGAAAACAGTCAAGATTATCAGCTCTGCCAGCCAAACTTTTTACTCACATTTGTGGACTCTTGGTTCCATATCTATAAACAGCAGGCACATGTAACTACCAATCAGTGGTGATGGTTTTATATATTTAAAATGTTGAAATCGATATACACTTCTAAATATGTAACTATGGCTATTGGAAAAGAATGACCATCTTAATAGCACATTGAGGATTACAGAGACACCAAATTGCCCTCAGCTGACTGCCCCCCCAAACCCTTGATACTTAACTTAAGTTGTTTCATACAGCTTTGAAAGAATGTACCGTGAGAGAGAGGGGGGTCTATGGTATAGGGAAGGTGTTGGAGTCTTATTGACCCTGAATAGAAGCAAGGTATAGGCATTTATGAATGGCCTTAGACAATACAAGGAAACGCCTGGAGAAAATGCACTTCTAGTGCAATGGCAGACATGGTGACTTTTACATATCTCCCAAGTGTAATGTGTAAAGGTCATTTTAAATAACTATTTCATGTCCAAGACCACCTTGATGTGCTTGAGATTTGTGCAAATGAAAAAGGTTAAATGATCCCAATTTAATAAGCCCATTCCAAATAATTCAGTGGGAATTTTGAAGCGCTCTTGGGCAAGTCTCATTTATTTGTATAGTATATCTTGTCAATAGATTTTTTGTGTGTATAATCAGTATAAGCAGAAGGGTGGGAGGGCTTCTTTCATATGATTGTTTACTACTACAGGGAAAATTCCAGGATCGGCAGTGTTGGTCTTTGACATTCATGTGATAGACTTCCACAACCCTTCAGATTCGGTTGCCATTACTACCCATTACAAACCGAGCAATTGCTCAGTACTGAGCAAAAAAGGCGATTACTTGAAGTACCACTACAATGCCTCACTCCTAGATGGTACTGTGTTAGAGTCGACGTAAGTATATCACTTGGCATTCATAGAAGCACGGGGTTAAATGCGTCAGATGTGAAACAGAGCAACAGCTTGGGAAACCTGTCATGTAGGGCTTCATGCATGTGAACCAAAGCTGAATATTTCATAGTTATTCAGTTAAAATAGGTGAGACAGAAGGGTTATGGAAGGGAAGAATAATCCAGATTTAGGGCTTGTGAATTTTGAGGTCAGTTATATAACGCAGCAGCCTGAATAGCCCAAACTATCCTGACTTCGGAAGTTAAGCAGGTTTGGGCATGGTTATTACCTGGATGGGAGACCACCAGGGAAGTCCAGGGTTGCTATTCAGAGGCAGGCAGTGGCAAACCACGCCTGTGCGTCTTTTGCCTTGTAAACCCTACGGAACGACATTCAGTTGGCTGCGACTTTATGGCACTTAATTATTATTACATAGCAAATATTCTATATGGTGTCAACATGCAATGTATGTATTAGAAAGGGACTGATAATAGATCAGATCATCCCAGAAATAATGGGCATGTGTGTGCAGGAATAAGTGCCAGAAAGATGCAGGAGGAGGCAGGATGATGCTACCCTTAGCATATCCCGGCATTAAGCAGCAAAAGCATAGCTCTTTGCTTGATAGCCTACCGTTGTCTAAGATGATTTTAATACAGTATATTGTGACTCTCTGGATTGTGACTCACTGTTTTCTTTCTTCAGGTTTAGCCTTGGCAAAACCTATAATATAGTTCTAGGATCTGGACAAATTGTGTTGGGAATGGATATGGGCCTCAGAGATATGTGTGTGGGAGAGAAAAGGACTGTTATCATCCCACCTCATTTTGGTTATGGCGAGACTGGAGTTGGTAGGTATCTGAAACCTGCAATTACTTAGTCTACCAAAGTTGGGCAATCAATGCTGATTGATACATTGATCTGTTTACTTTTAACTAGGGGTGTGTGCACACAAAAATGTGGGTTTTTTTTCGGCAATCCCATTTTTTCTGGCTCCATTATAGCCTATGGGACTATTATAGTCAATGGGGAATCTATCTGGGGGTATCCAGGGGTCTGTTTTTTTAGGTAGAGGCACCAAAATTTCAGTGTAGCTTCTGGTGCCTCTCCTCAAAAGATCCCCCCCCACCAAGTTTCAAAAAAATTGGACCAGGGGGTCCAACTCTATGGGCCACCAAAGGTGCCCCCGTTGTTTCCAGTGGTGGGGAAAAAACAGCAACCCCCCCCCCAAGGGCCGATGTCAAACCAGAGAGTCTCTTCAGTAGAAACTAAAGTGGGGGGATTTTTTCAAGCCCAGCAGAACCAATGTATGTACAGAGTGCTCTACAGAACCAGTGCATATACACAGTGCCCAGCAGAACCAGTGCCAATGTGGCAATGCCAGCTCAACAAATCAAAGCAAGGGGGGGGGCTTGCAAGTCCAACATAGCCAGCTCATGTACAGAGTGCCCAGTAGAACCAGTGCATATACAGAGTGCCCAAACAAGGTGCTCCCATCCTCCATTGTTTTCCATGGAGAAAAAATGAAAGCATTTAAGGGAAGGCACTAGGTTTTGCTGGGCACAGCACTCTGTACATGCACTGGCTATGGTGGGCTTGGAACCTCCCTTTGCTTGGATTTGTTGAGCTGGCATTGCCACAGTGGCATTGGTTCTGCTGGGCACTCTGTACATGCACTGGTTCTGCTGGGTGCTCTGTATATACACTGGCTGTGCTAGGCTTGCAACTCCCGCTTGCTTGGATTTGTTGACCTGGCATTGCCATGGTGGCACTGGTTCTGCAAAAATGCCCTCCATCAGTTTCTATTGCAGAGACTCTCGGGTTTGACATCAATCCCTGTTTTTTTTATTCCCCCCCTCCATTGGAAATAATGGAGTATGGGGGCCCATAGTATTGAACCCCCAGTCCAAATCTTTTGAAACTTGGGAGAGTCTTTGGAGTAGAGGCACCAGAAGCTATGCTAGAAATTTGGTGTGCCCCTACCTTAAAAAAAAAAAAAAGCCCCCCGACCCCTAGATAGATTTCCCATTATAGCCTATAGGGATCATTAGCTATAATGGAGCCAAAGGCATTTAAAGGTATTGTGGTCCCTTTTAATGCATTCATGAAGCTGCAGCTTCCCCTGGAATGGCAGGGAACACACTCTCTTTAAATGCCATTTAATTGGGCTATCCTGTTTTCCCAAATAATCCCAGTTTTTTTCAGGATTATCTGGGATTGGCTATGCTCGATATCTGAAAATACCTCCCCACCCATATCTGACTGAAAGAATAGCTGATAAATACCAATGAAGTATTTTCCAGCTATTTTCCAGGCTCCGATAGAGCTGAATGCACACACCTGTTTTTAACCTTTCTCTGCACTGTGCCACAATTCACTTCTGAGCTGTCTTAATTTCTTTAAATATTAATTGATCTGCGGACAGCTCGGACACAGGATACTCTCCTAGCTCTTCTCCTCTGCTCATAATACAGAGCAAGCCGAATAATGTAGATAATGTAGAAGGAAACTTAGAGCTGTACCATTATTCCAATTTGAACTAGTGATTCTCAGACTGTAGTGTGGGTTTAAATGCAGTTTTAACTAACATCAGCCTGAAAGTCATACGATCAACACGAGAAGAAATGAAACTAATTTTTCTTTCTGAATGCTGAGCACACTTGGCATTAATAAAACAATGGTGCATTTTAAATGAACAGGGCGAAACATATGAAGTAGCAACTTACCTTTGTTACAACTGCAAATAACAGAGTGCAGGAAAAGATTATATCAAACTTCTTTTGGACCCAACAAATACTATTTTTTCATGTATTGCAGTGGGTTAAATATTATAATTGAAATGTGGTGCAGAATTTGCTTATGCTGGAGGTGGGTGGATGAGGTTGGCTTTTCTTCCACACTTCATGTTAGCTGAAATCGTGCCACATTGCAAAGACTAACCTTTTTTTTTTTGCCGTTTACCGCACCAGAAGGAGAAGTGCCTGGTAGTGCTGTACTGGTTTTTGACATCGAATTGATAGAGTTAGTGTCTGGCTTGCCAGAAGGCTATATGTTTGTGTGGCATGGTGACGTCTCTCCTAACCTCTTTGAAGAAATTGACAAGGATAACAATGGAGAAGTTCTTCTGGCAGAGGTAAAGTTTTAGCTGATAAAGCTGATTTGTAGAGATTCCTTGTTAGCATGCACCAGAGAGCGGGATACAAATCCAATAAAATAGCTGCTTAGGACACTACATTTCTGTGTGCTTCCAGGAACTACACAGAGATGCATTATCTTTGTGCAAGTTGGGCCTTAACAGCACTGTATGGGACACACTGTGAAATCCTAAATTTATGCAGTAGAGTTTGTGTAGGTCTGTCTAGGTGCAAATGATTTCAAACCCACATTCATCTCACTCTAATCTATAGCCTTATTCTTTTAAAATTCCCAGTTTTCTGACTATATTCTTGAACAAGTTAATTCTGGCAAAGGAAAGCTGGCTCCTGGCTTTGATTCTGAAACAGTTGTGAAAAATATGTTCAGCAATCAAGATCGGAATGGAGATGGTAAGATTACAGTGGAAGAATTCAAACTGAAAGACCAGGAGTCAAAGAGACATGATGAATTGTAGCTTGAGTGCTTGTTTTTTTGTGAGCTGAACTGCTGTTATCGAGTGTATGCACCACAGAAACGGGTTGAAATGCATGCACACTTAAACAGAGGATAGTTGGGAACAAATGCCCATGTCTCTATATTCATGGTGCAGGTTAAGCAAGGCTATACAACAGAAGCCTTTTTTGTGGCATTTATTGTATAACACATGAAAAGTGCTCAAATTGGTTTCATCAGCTTTTTCAAAAGGGTACACATCCCACTGTTCTGACGTGCATAATACCTGCAGTCTGTCTCAGAGATATAGTATAGAAGCTGATGATGATGGATTTGCAATACAAAGAGTGTGGATTTACATTCAGGGCCCTTTTGAGTTTTCAGTCTTCTCAGTCATTCTTTAAGAACACAGTTCTGCTCCATTATTACTGAGCATAGACAGTAAACCATAAAAAAGCAAGTTTGTCAGCTTCTGTTTGACACTGACTCTTCCCCCACTAAGCTAATACAAATATAGCCCTGTGCTTCCCTAGAGCCTGTTGCTTTTGAAGATCCACTGTCACACTAAATTATGCAGGAAAAGATAGTCATACAACTGCTGAACTCTTCCTATCCTAGATCTTACCTGCATTATTACACAAAAAGTAAATTAAAAAAGTATTGGAAAGAGAAAGCTGTGTTTCCATTTTTTAAAAAAAATCAGGATTGGTAGACTTGTTGCTTGTACAGCATGCAGCTATTTCAGTCTACTACTTGGATAAGTAATAATCATTAATTATTATAAGGGACCCTTTAGAGAGAATCACAATTTCCTAACTATACCTGTTAAAACCATGCTGTAGATGTGACTAAATATTTAAAACGAGAGCATATGTTAGGTGAAAAAGTGACTTTCCAATGCTGGAGGCAATGCTCATAAAGTCACAGTAGCACTGAATAGCAGTTGGACTGAAAATATTGAGATATGGCTTTCAATTGTGTGAACGGTTCTAGTTTTAAACTCAAGACATGCTTCTTAATTTTTCCCCACAGTACATAAAGTTTTGTAGATTTTTAAACACTCTGTAATACTAATAATGCCATGAAGATTTCTCGAATGTACATGCTGGTAATTTTTTATTAAATAAAATATTGACAGACACATTATGTATAACATTTCTTCAGGCATGTGGGGGTGGGGAAGGCTTAGCATTATCTTGAAATCCTGGCTTTTAATAAATCTTTCAGCTGATGGTTAGTATTGAAATTGGCTTGAGATCCTGGCCACAGACACCTTGGGAAAAGGGACAGGGATTTTGATCAAGCAGTTTATGTACTTAGTAGTTCATCTACAGGATGAGACTAAAAGTCTACTTCATGTACTTTGTGAGGCTTAATAAGCCAAGGCTTATTGGAATTCATTTTAAAAGTGCAATTATTAATATTTAACATCTTAATGCATTGCAGGCTGAATACAGTTAAGTGAACAGTATTTGAAATATTACTGGTTGCTCTGGGATTTTTTTTCTTCCTTTCAAGATGAAAGGTAATTTACATCATTTATAGTCCACTTTTTTCACTGAAACTCAATGTGGATTACACAGCATGAGAATTCAAATCTTCCAGCTGTTACCACCAAATAGTTTTTATGGGCAAAAGTGTGTGTGGAGGGGAGAAACTCCATAAGGCTGATCAAAATTATCTAGGAAAAAAGACAGGGCCAGTTCACACGTATAATCAGCATCGCTGTGAGAACTGCCCCAGTAAAAATAATTACAATGTCATAGGAAACCAGTTTCCATAAAATGGATTGTCCCTCATAAGTGATTCTCAAGTGGCAGTTACACCACCAATCACACATGCCCAACCTGATGATTGACGAAGAAGAGGAAGATATTGGATTTATATCCTGCCCTTCACTACCCAAGGGAGTCTCAGAGCGGCTTACAAACTCCTTTCCCTTCCTCTCCCCACAACAGACACCCTGTGAGGTAGGTGGGGCTAAGAGAGCTCTGATAGAAACTGCTCTTTTTCAAGAACAGCTGTGCCAGAACTATGGCTTGCCCAAGGTCATCCAGCCAGGTGTATGTGGAGGAGTGGGGAATCAAACCCGGTTCTCCCAGATTAGAGTCTGCACACTTAACCACTACCCCAAAGCCTGTCTGGAGGCAGAAGCCTATTCCTGTAGTCATTGAATGCTAATGTAAATAGCCCTGCACTTTCCTCTGCTCATGATATAACACCTGTTCTTAATAGGTTGTGGGAAGGAGAGATTCATTTCACTGCTCAGTGAACACTACAACAGAGTTGTAACCTCGTTTGAGGATTTTCGTAAGCTGCTCTTTCCATTAGGAAAGAATTACAGTTGATTTTCTTATCCATGATCTGGAATAATTTAAGGAAAATACAAAGCTCTGCACTATGAAACTACTTTCAATTTTAATGAACAGAACTGTAATCTGGGCAATCAAACACTGCACATTTAGCTATTCAACATGTTTTGCATATTTTCTACCACACTTCCACACATTCTGAAAGTGACCCTTTATTATGCACAGGTAAAAACCAAAGGAGCCCTTTTGCAGTTGATCCATACATCATTAGAATAAATAAAATGTGCATATTAAAGATGAAGGGTGTAATAGAAGCAGAGAAGCTTCTAGGTGTCCACAGTATGTTACTTTTCAAAAAAAGTGATATCAGCATGGAAAACAGAATGAACATTAATATTCTAAGATAACACAAGCATGTCCATCTGCCTCCATTGGGAGGAAAGATCAAATCCTGATGAAAACAGGTTACAGAATCTTCTGCAGGATTGAGTTGGCCACATCCAAGGAGTCATCCTTCACCAAAACAATATCATAGGAGTCCATATATTTTTCCAGCAGTTCTTCAACCTAATTTTCAGAATTAAAGAAAAATCAGATAATGTAGAAACAACTATAATTTTGCAAGACATAACAAAGAATGGCAGAAGTTATTTTTTACCACTGACTAGTATTGTCCCCCCCAATAAATTTCTAGGCAGATTGAAACTACACTATAATTTAAGATACAGAACCAGAAAACTTCAACACACTGCCATTTTTGGCTTTAGATTACTTATCATATTCCAGCAAGATACATTTATCATTATTTACCATTTTAATAAAAGTACTTGTGAATCGTCAGGGATACATTAAGATGCTGCTTGATTTTGTTTTTGTATAAAAACTGGATTTTGGTTTAGCAACACACTCTGGTTTACCTTGATTTTATCTGCTGGTTGAGATTCCATTACTAATTCTGTATTTTATCATATGTTGCAATTTCAATTTTTTCTTGTAAGCAGCTTTGGGGAGACATACACAATTAAATCTGTTTGCTAGTCAAGAAGGCTACAGCAATTTTTGACTACTGCACACATATCAGGGAAATAAAATGGTTTTAAAATCAGGACAGATTAATACAAGGAAATCAATGTATGCCATAGTCAAGACATGAGGCTGGGATTTATGCTTTTGTTTATGAATCAGAAATGAACATAAAATGTGTGAAACCCTAACACACGGTGATGTAAAGTACTGTTAGTGCTTTACAGTATCACACACCTTGAGCCTACCAATAAAATGCTAACTTACTTTATCATTAAGATACCCAATCTTGAGAATATGCTCAACATTAGCCACTCCATCTGCCATAGTTAAATCTCCTTGGGAATCTCCAAGCAATATGATGTTACTGTTTTCTTTTAGCTGTTTAAAGTACTCCGTGTTCTTCAAGGCACCGTCATGTTTATTGTAAACATGTATCACTTCCCCTTTAAATCCTTTCAGTACACCCTGTTAAATATGACAAAGTAAATTCCAAGGCTATACAAGCATATTAGCATGTCACTTTAAAGATGATACTCTGTTCTTAACATTGCCCTTCAATCATATGCAGTTAATCACATAAAGAAGAATGATTTTTAAATTAGAAAACAGAACCTTTCATTTCTTTTCTGGGAACCGTTTTTTCCATTAGTAAATCTAATCTAACAGACTGAATTACTCACTTTATGAAAAGGAAATGATGGTATCCCCATTTTTTGCTTGGTGGACAGCTACATAACCCATTTATATAGTGTGGTACAATGAAGTAACATTTGCCATCAGACACCTTTATACTTACATTCTCATCAAAATCCATGAAATTGGAAACTACTTTGATGTTGGGATGGTAGACACCTGCCTGATGGATGACCTCTTCTAAGATGTCGCCGATTCCAGCAGAAAATATGAATACAGGAATATTGTGCTCATGGAGCTTATCAAAGAAGTTCTCATACCCTTCTCTGTAAAGCAAGATAAGCAAGCAATGTAAGCCTTAACTGCATTACAGCTCTTTAATGCTATGACATTACTTTAACCCCCACCCTGACCTGGATGGCTCAGGCTAGCCCGATCTCATCAGATCTCGGAAGCCTAAGCAGGGTTGGCCTTGGCTAGTACTTGGATGGGTGCCCTCCAAGGAATACCAGGGTTGTGACCCAGAGGCAGGCAATGGCAAACCACCTCTGAAACATTTCTTGCTTCAAAAACAAGTTTAGCTCACCACTTAGTGGTGCATAATGCTAAATAACCCCTGGCTGCCAGACAATCTTAGGATCTCCTGGCTATACTACACACAATGCCATATGATAATTATTATTACTTTGACCCTACCAGTATTTATGAATATGCAAGATGATGGTACACATGTCTCTTTAATTAGCAGCTTCTTTGTCTATGACTTCAGTATATCAAAGTGCTTTATCAGAAATCTGTGGTCCATACCCATGTAAGTGTGTGTTCTTTGGCAGACTGCCAAAGCTGTTCTGTTGCTGAGGCCATGCAGGCTGCACCCTACTCCACCCAGGTAAGTTCTTCTTGTTGGGCCCAGGTGTGTGTTCTGCCAGGTGGGCTGCTGCCAGGTAGCCTGCCATACATACCCTATTACTTCACAAAGCACCCTTTGGGGCAAGTAAAGTGGAAAATAGCCATGTAAATATGCTGGTTAAGTACTGGAAGCAAGCTGAGTCCCATGATTCTGTCAGTATTGCAGTTTTCTGGTTGGAGAACAGGCCCTGCACCCTGACCAAAAAGGTCTGGTATTCTGCTGTTTGGTACGCATCAGAGGCTGCTTGACAAGGACAGAAAAAGCTTTTTTGCCTCTGCAATACCTGATTTTGTGGGCACCGCAAGAGGTTGCAGTCTGCCCTACATGTCAGGCCTTGTCACTTTTACCCAGTGGTGAACAGGATGGGGAATCTAAGCATTCTTGTAAAGCAAAGAAGGGGAGCTCTAGGTTGGTGAATCTGAATACAAAAATGGCCTCCTTTGCACTATAAACCCTACCCCCACTTTTTCTAATGTTAGTATTATAGTAAGAACTTTACGGCTTGTGGAGAAATGGCCCCACAGGTGATGTGTGTATAACTTACATTTCTGGAGGGAAGGGGGAGAAAGAAAAATTGCACTCTGGTTTTGCTCAAAGGTTAGTCTAAATGTGCCTCTCCAGGTAGAGAGATGGTTAGGAAACAAATTTTGCAAACTAGATTTTAGCTGGTATCTGCCATTCTGGCAGAAAAAAGGCAATGATATGTTTGTGAACAGCTGAAGAAATAGGTACAGTCCTAACCTAGTCAAGTGTTAACACAAAAAGAGGACGCAGAAGATCCTGGAAGCTTGAAATACTGGGTGTTATTTAAATTTATTTACTTAATGTATATGCTGCTTTACTGCCCAATGGGGACCTAAAGTGGTTTATACTGTTCTCCTCGCCTCCATTTTATCATCACAACAATGATAAGTGAAGATGATAGTGTGTGACTGGCCCAAGGTCACCCAGCAAGTTTTTATAGCAGAGTGGGGGATCTGAACCTGCATCTGAACACGACTACTGTACCAAGCTGACTCGAGTATGGGTGTGGAGTTCTCAGGAGGAATGGAAGTAGTATGCTTTTGTTAAAGTGAATGGGGGACACGATCGGAGAAAAAAGGTTGCCAACATGGTCAACTGAGAATATATAGAGTTTAATCTTGAGGTAACCAGGAATTAGTTACCTGAATTCCATCAGATTGCTTATTCAGTATGTTGTGGGTTTTGTATTTTTTGTGTGTGTGTGTGTGTGTGTGTGTGTGTGTGTGTGTGTGTGTGAGAGAGAGAGAGAGAGAGAGAGAGAGAGAGAGAGAGAGCGAGCACCTGGATGTCATGGAGACCTCTGGTGACTGACCCCTATTGGGGGCCTGGAGGATATTCAGAGATGGCTGAATAAAGCCTGCCCCCACCTCCCATCTCTGGTATTTCAAGGAGGTCTCCCATCCAAGTACCTGCCAGAGTTGACCCTGCTTAGCTTCCGAGTTCTGACGAGATTGGGTTTGCCTGGGCTATCCAGGTCAGAGCTGCTGTTGATTTTTTTTAAATTAGTGGCCAGTGTGGTGTAGAGGTTGAAGTCTCAGACTACGATCAACGAAATCCACATTCAAATCCTCACTTGTGCCATGGAAGCTTGCTAGGTGACCTTGGGCCAGTCACACATTCTTAGCCTCAACCTATCCCACAGCGTTGTTGTGAGGATAAAACAGGAGAGGAGAATGATGCAATGTTCTTTGGGTCCCACTGGGGTGAAAGGTGGGTTATAAATAAGGTAGATAAATAAGTCTTTCCCCCTCAAATGTGTGTAATTGCATTCCCCCACATGTGGTCTTGCTTATAAATTGACAGTCACTGAATTTGGTCCATGCTAACAAAGGAATTAGAGGAGGAAAACCTAGTTTCTTCTTGGATGTTTAGTGTAAATGCAGAGCCAATTCCTTGGTAACTAAAGTAGTAGTCTGAGAAATTTCTGTGGAAATTTTGTTTTAGAAAAACCTCTGAATGTCCTAAAGAAGATTCGAAACTATTTATTTCTTATGGTTGGCAGTGGTTAAAGATTTTAATTCTCTTTGGGTGATGAATAAGGCTGGGAAGGAAGAATCTTACTGAAGTCTGGTAACTTTAGACCTTAGCAAGCGGCTTAAATTCTTTACCAGGGTACGTTTTTCAAACTGCAGCCTGCTTTTAGAGATTACAACTTTGATGAAAAGCTCCTGTAACTTTTAATCACTGGAACTCTTAATTCCAGGTACAGTACAGGCTTTTTGGAAAAAATGTTATGATCACTGAGTTTTGTGGTAAAACATTCTTTCCCCATTCTCGGAAAAAAATGGAGAAAGAATGTTTTACCACAAGACTCAATGACTGTAACAGCGCCAGCAGTTAAGTTAAAAGGGTATTAACAGTATCTGAACTGCATTTTTATGGAATGGAAAATCAACAATATGGACAAACATTCCCAAATCAATAATTTCTTAGTTTTATGTGAAAATCACACATTTAAAAAAATCACTAAAGAAGTCTTAATTTTTTTAAAGCCCAACTGTTGTGTTACCACTGTGATGCAATAACTGGTTCAGTTTGGTAGAATGGGTACGTAACTATGTTATCCACCTCTCCCATTGTAAGTTCTTGAATGCGGGAGTTATAGGATGAACACAAGGCCCAACCACATGGAAGCAACTTCTTTCTCCAACAACAGCAAAACTGGTCTTTAGTGGAAAACATAATTTCTAGCACAGCTACTCGTTTCTGAAAGTGCCAGCAATCTTTTCTCTCCTGAAGTGGTATTATACAGTATCTATAAAGCCTACAAAGAAGACTACAGGAAAGAAGCTTACTTACTTCAGCATAACATCTGATTCCCTCACAATCTCTGCAAGCTTGTCCTTTTGCAATGTTTGCTCAATAAGCAAAGCATGCGATTTATTGTACCTAAAATTAAAAATGAAAATAAGGTTTTGTTTTATGCACAAGCACACAGGCTGAAAATTCATTCTGTCATACACAGAATATATTAAAACAAAATTATGATTTGTGACTGGTTTTTGGAGAATTATGTTAAATGCTTTACAGTTGCGAGTTCAATTTGCAATGATCACAGCAAACAATGAGATATTTCAGAAAAAAACAGTTCTTAGAACACTCTTTAAAAATGCACAGTGAAAAGTCTTGCACCATATATCATATTCATATTCTACCAATGAAGTTGGCCAAATCTGAGGTTCCTTAAATCTGATGACTGGAGCTGTGAATGAGCAAGAGAGATATTTCTACAAACCTGAAAACCCCAGGTGTGCAAAGAAATCTGAAATGTAAAAAAAATGGGGGGGGGGAGTTAACCCCAAAATGACAAAAGAAATGCCTCTTACTTTAAGAACCAGATTCCCTGGCCATTTCTAGGCAACCACGGCATTCTAGGCTTGATTTTTGTGAGTAAAAGGTAGGAAGAGGGGGCAGTGTCCTTTTCTGGGCTGTTTTAGCTTTAGGCCTAGGCTGGCAGCAACCACCGTATGACGATGCCACCTGAGTTATATGACTCAGCTAGGTGTGGCTGCTCGCTACTGTTCAATAGCAATCACCCTATAAAAGTCAGTAGGGTCTGGGAGACCCAGGTTCAAATCCTCATCTTGCTTTGAAAGCTCACAGAGTGCTTTTGGGCCAGCCACATATTTCAGCCTAACCTGCCTCATAGGGTTGTTGTGAGGATAAAAAGGAAGAGAGGAGAATAATGTAAGCTGCTTTGGTCCCCACTGTGGACAATGATGGGGTATAAGGAAGTAAATAATACATATAGCTGAAGATGGGAGGCTGATAAAAGGTAGGTTGGTGAATTGCTCAGAAGGGGAGAGGATATGGGGGTTTGCCAGGAGAAGGGGACAGGAAATAGTGTGGAGAGAGGGATACAGTGGAAAATGAGGTGTTCCCCCACAAGTCCTTAAGAGTTCCTACCATGAAATTGCACCTGGCCCAGTGGCCAGCACTAGACAGAGGCTGCTGGGGGAGAGGGAAAAGCTGGACAGGGCAAATAAATATAGCCTGGTTGCTGGGTGGGAAGAAGGAAGCGGGGGGGGGGGGAGAAACCATGGGGGCTTTCAGGAAAGGTGTGAGGGAGGCAGAAATGAGATTCCTCCTACAAGCCCTTGAGGTTTTCTGCTTGTATATTCTAATAGCAAAAGTGTGCTCTTATTGGCAGATATCTAAATATACAGATTAGGGTCACACAGAAAGAAAATATTTCAGCAATCCTGGGGGACCTCCCATGTTTGCAAAAAATTCTGAAAGTAAAAACATACATTGGGGGGAGGGGTTAATTCTCCCCCAAATAAAAGCATTGTCTGAGCAAGCACAGGCAATGGCCTTGCCTCTTCCTCCTCTGTTGGTAGATCTAGTTGTGGGGGGAAGGAGAGCCTAGCTGGGACCAGCAGTAGTGATGGGGGAAACCTCAGAGGGCCTGCCCAACTGCACCAGGCTTGCCACTGAGAGCTGCGATGGTAGTGGTGGTGGGGACAGACCCTCACTGGGCTCACCACTCAGAGCAGCTATGGTGAGGGTATAAGACATTGCATTGGGCCCTGCGGTGGTGGTGAAGTGACTGGGTTGGGGAAGGCAGAAAATGGATAGGCATGGAAGAGAGAGCAAATAAGAGAAGGGGTGATGGGAGGGAGAAAGAGTGAGAGACTGAGAGAAGTAGGGGGAAAGGGGAGGAAGCAAAGGTGTGTGTGGGGGGGAATAGGATGACTGCTCCCACCAGTTTCTTGCAGGTCCCCCCTTATAACATTCTTTCTTCCAAGTGTGTAGTATACCAAAGGTAAATGTAAAGGTTCCCTTGCTCGAAAGCCAGTCGAATCCGACTCTAGGGTTGCGGTGCTCATCTCTGTTTCAAAGCCGAAGAGCCAGTGCTGTCCGAAGACATTTCCGTGGTCATGTGGCCGGCATGACTAAACATCAAGGCGAACGGAACGCTGTTACCTTCCCACCGAAGTGGTACCTATTTATCTACTTGCAATTTCTTGCTTTCGAATGGCTAGGTTGGCAGGAGCTGGGACCAGAGACGGGAGCTCACTCTGTCACACGCACTCAGGTCTCGATCTGCTGAACTACCGACCTTCCACAGCCTGCAGTTCAGCGTCTTAACCACTTGAGCCACCACAGCTCCTAGTATACCAAAGAGGTGGCATTAAATATTATTGTAGTCAATTGCTTATTTAACTACTTTTAAAGTACTTCACAAATTTTCTACTAGAAACAGGGCAATGGAACTAAATTGTATAAACCACAGTTAACAGCTGTTTTGGGGATATCAGAGAAAGCTCCAGAAGCTTGAAAGCTCCTCTGTACATAAGACCAGAGCTATGCAGGAATCCTTTGAAATGTTGCTCCAAGCAATCAGGTATGAATCCCTTGCACATGACAGTGTGTGCTAAATTGCTTCTACTGACCAATCGGAGGTTAAATAACAACTTTTGTCATATGCAATGTCAGAATTCATTCTGAGAGCAGAACGCAGCAACACAGAAAAGTAAAAATGTGCTTCATTAATTAAGTCTATCTATTAATTTAAATGTTAAAATTAGCTATAATATTAGCCCTTACGGAAAGGCATTTGGTCACCTTTCATAAACTCACCACTCAACCATGTAAGGATACTTCTCTTCAATTGTAAGATTTGGGTCAATTTCAATGGCATAATATATTTCTTTCAGTTGCAATAACTGGAAGAAAAAAACACAAGTCCGTTACTTTATAATAGCTTTTGTACAATTAAGCAGAAGCCACTACCTTATCTGTGGTTTGTCCTGTTTTGTTTCCCTTTCTAACTAAGAGGGCAAAGGAATACTGTAACAGTTGTTTTTGCATATTGTTTGGTAACTACTACCTTCCACAGAACTTTAATATAGAAGTGAAAAACCAGAAAATAACTTGTCCATAATATTTCTACAGTTAATGCTTTTGGTTTTGCAGTTCAAAAGATAGCAAAGAATCATAAGCAGAAGGAAGAACTAAAATACAGATACAAAAAAAGTTGTCAAATGTATGATTACCTTTTTACGACATTCATCTGTGATGAGCTTGCAGTTGTCAATGATATCTGAAAGATACAAAGTTAGCAGAAGAAGCTGAATGCAGAACAAAATCTGGGATGGATCCTGTGGCTCTGTTCCTCTAGTGGAGGCACTCTCATCTGGCAGAAGGCTCCTTCTGATGGAGGAAAACACTCCCGCTAAAGGAACAGCACCATAGAATCCAACCCAATGCAAGGTTCTTACCTGTTCTTTACAATGCAATTGTTTCAACCTGTTCAGAAGCTAGCAGAACTAGTGATGGAGAGATTGTATACTGAAACTGGCGAGACACAATTGGGAGCAAATCTGAACAACCTTTAGCTGGCAAAACTCATTAACTCTAATGCCTGTTACTAAAGAAAGGTCTCCACACGTTACTCATATAGAATTTATTCAGGTTATCATGAGCATAAACTGGGAGTACTGAAGTGTACAATGTTTTACATAAAATAAAATTCAATGTTAAAAATGAGCCAGGGAATAAACTGCTAGAGAAGGCAGAAACCTCCGAGGTTACTAGCCCAAATGACTTGTGTGTGTGTGTGTGTGTGCGCGCGCGCATGTGGGGGGAGTGTAGAAAAAAAATCTAGATCTCAAATACCGTCTTTTATTGCCATTCTAATATCTACTTTGATGTACGAGCAACGTACAAGACAACTACATTTTGACAAAAAGTTCTTATAACAAGTGGTACTTACTATGACACGTTGGACATCTTTTGCCAGCGTAGGAAAATCTACTTAATGTCATATCAAAGTCTGTAATTATCTGTAAAAATAACCAAATTATAACCGCAATGTTAAAATTAAATGCTAAGAATTTTTGACAGACCAAGTAGGTAATATGACATATTCAGTGTCACTGCACTGACATAATTAATTACTCAAGAAATCATGTAAAATGATTAAATTATATATCTGAATTGGAGGGGGCATTTACTGAGAATGTTAAGATAAATTATACAATTCAAGGAACATTTAAGATTTTTGCATCCTCTCCTAAAACCTTATTTTGTCTTCATAACACAAAATACTATTCTATTCTACAAATATGCTTTGTGTTTCACCTGAAGTTTGGCAGATCCACCTTTGATGAGGCCACAGATAATTTCTTCCACTCTTCCTGGGTCCTTGATATGGACAGTCTTTTTCTGAAATTCAGGCATCTAGAAAAGGTAAAATTGGGAGTACATATTAACTTTGCAAAGACGGGAACATTTCCCGGTTTGAACATATGACTGTTAATGGTAAAGCAGTAGACAAATTAAGACTATTTTGTGCAAAGCTGGCTTGGCAAATGGTGGGTTCATTGTTAAAAATTCTGACTCACAATCTAGAAGAAAATGCAACTACCTAAGCCAGGTAAGAAAATGGAGATCTCAAAATGACAGTTATCAATATACCTTTCTTATTTACTTGAAAAGTCTTTGTTTTCCAGTGTACCTCCTAGTATATTTGTTATCCTGCTCTTTCTCCAAGGAGCATAAGGTACCTATATATGAGGTCCCCTTGCCCTTCTCTCACAACCACCATGGGAGCTACATAAGGATGTGAGAGGGACTGGGCCTAGGTCACCCAACAAGCTCAATGGTGGAGTGGGGATTTGAACCCAGGTCTTCCAGACCCCAGTCCAACATTTTAACTACTACATTACAACTGGATCTCATAATTATAGGCAGCTTGTAACTGGTAAGGATGTGAACCACCATGTAATTGCTGTAGTTCCATGATGGGAGATACTGACTAAATATATACTGCATAGAGTTGCATGTCAAGGAACTGTGCTTTGCCATGGCTGTTCAAGATGCTTCAAAAATATTAGATTATAAAACAGATGCTAATGATTTTCAATTTATAATAGTATGAGAACATCTGTCCATTCTCTCCTAGGCTCTGAGGAACAAAACCCAACAGACTATAGAACACCCATGAACCTTTACTGATACACTGAGAGACCACATGGCAGATTTTGGACAAGTCATAGGGTTAATACAGGTGAGATCACAGAGGCTTGTCTATAGATAGGTGAAAAAAACAAACAGATGAATACTTAACAGGGTAGTGAGTAGGCTCCCCAAAGCATTCACAAAACAGCAAGTCATCTGAGAGGTGACTGTTGATTACAAACAAACATTTAATTCCTCCCCCCCCCCGATTAATACCATTTAAATTGTGCAGGTCAGCTGCTTGACTATTTCTTCTCCACTATAATCTAGGTAATCAGCATTCCTTTGGAATGAACTATTAGTGACTGATAATAGCTACAATTCAATGTAGACATTAGCAATATCCTTTCAGGAAGGATGGCAAGGTACTTGTTTGTCCAGTACAAATATAGTAACTTACTGGAATATAGTCCTGCATATATGCACAACTGTAATGGTTTTGAGAGACAAACAGAGATGTAGCTATCTACAAAGGTGAAGAGAGCTATTCTTGTGCTCTGCAGCATGGCAGTAGCAACAATCTCCATCCACCCAAGATAATGCTTCTGTTGCAAGGGTCTATGGTGGAATGTGTCATCAAGCTGCAGCTGACTTGTGGCCACCCCCTATGGCTTTCAACGCAAGAGACCAATAGTGGTTGTTTGCCATTGCCTGCCTCTGTGCAGCAACTCTGGACTTCTTTGATGGTCTCCCATCCAAGTGCTAACCAAGGCTGACCTTGCTTGGCTTCTGAGATCTGACAGGATCAGGCTATCCTGGGCTGTCTATGTTTCTATGGTGGTTGAAACTCAACTAGGATGGGCACAATTGTATTGTCTGTTTTGTTAAAGACATAAGCAGATATACTAATATCTACTTATCTGGTTGCTGAAAAGCAGTTTCCCTGTGCAGGCTGAACAACTGAATGGTCCATGCAAGTTTAACAATAAAAGTATGCTGATGAAAACCCAAAAGGGAATATGAAGCACTAATGCTTAGTAGATTCTAATAAAATATTCTTGGCACTAACAATATGTTAGAGCTATTACCTACACATTAAGCAAGTCTACTTTGTTTTCTTTTGTTTATTAAGAAAAATGGGATCATTTGTCAGAAAGACAAGACTATAAAAACAAAGCACTATTATTTGTTTATGGAAACAATATTATGAAAATTACCCAGCGAGTGTTTATATCAGAAGCTGGTCTTGAAGAGAGCAAAAAGCAAAAGGCAAAGGAATTTGAGGAGGAAAAAAACCTTCCTAATCTACCAAATAAAATTCTTATTCCAGATATATGAACTTTGTTTGAAAGTGTTTTGTCCATGGCGCATTACGAGTATCTTATACACAATTCCGAAGCAGAAGTCCACTGAGTGAATTTAAGTTTCTGGTCAGTGATATAGTAAAGTATGGAGTATCAACATAAGATTTAGTGGTGATATAAGTGTTCTTGCAATAAGCTACACATTTAAAAAAATTGGGGAAAAATGTTGCTAAATTCAAGTCCCATAGCACCTTAGAGACCTGCAAGATTTTCACGGTACCAGGTTTGAGAATCAATACTCCCTTCAAGAATCAACTGAAAAATTTAAATAAATAAATATTTAAATAATGTTAGCAAAAGAAAGCAAATTCACTATTTACAAGCACTGGGGTTTGTCCATTCCTAATACCCCATATTTAGCCCATCTAACATGATTAATTTGTAGAACAGCTCTGACAACTATAGGTAAACATGCTACATTTACATATGTGGGTGGAAATTTTTCCAACAAAAAATACAGCACTGGAAAATGTTTTGTTTTGAAAACTTTTCTGTACCGTGAACGGGTATGGCAAAAGAAAGGGTGGAGCTGTGAGATAAGACTAAAAGTTCTTAAAATAAATATGATCATAACAGGTCAGGCAATCCAGTGTCAGTGGTATAGAAGTTTGCTTAGGATCAAAAGTCAGAAATCTTGAACTAGCCGATATTCTTGCATGCTTCAAGGAGAAGAGCAATATATAAATGCATGGCAAACTTACTGGGCTAAATTCTTAAAATGAGATTACAGTACTTTAAGGCAACTTCAGTGGGCAGCCAAATAAATTCAAGTGAAACAAAAGTAAATTAGCCCAACAGAACCAAATTGCCCATAAAATTAGGAAAACACAAAATTGCCATACATGGCTAACATCTACAAAAATTAGCTGCGTTGTCTTCCTTCTCCTATTTGTCCAGGTTTCATGTTTAGTCCCTAGCAATTCCATTTTAAAATCTCAAGAAGCAGGGCCCAGAAAGACCCACTCGACAGCATAAGGATATATGATCCTCACAGTTAAAGGAAACTTCTAGATCAAAAATACCTCTGATCAAGGAGAGAACTTCCTACCTGGCTTCTGACTTGGGAACACAAATGGAAAAATAGTGTAAAGGGGCAAATGCATACATTGGGATGGCATCCAAAGCCTGACAGAGCAGCCAAGGCTGTCAGTCCTAATCACTTGTTTTCTGTAACGGGCTATGCATCTTGAAGGACCCTGGCCACAAGTATAAGATTGAGCATGATTCTCTAGGGGGATTAGCAACTACAGTCATACAGGACACTGTTTTGGAGACACCTTAAAACAGGCTCCTAGGGAAAAACAAACAGAGCAGTGTATTTATAAACAGACAGCCCTGTAAGCCTACACTACTGGTATATATAAAGTTCCCACTTGCTTTGCCAAACTTGTGATCTGTTTATCAGTGCTCCTTAAAGTGAAGACCTACTTTGAAATCCTCCAAAGAACAGACTAATTTTAACTTGCTAACCACACGAAAGGTTATTGATGGTAGACCTTCATATCAAAAAGGAGTTTTCAACTACTCCCGCCCCCCAAAGATGAAGAGTACTCCGAATACAAATTACAGCAAATCTAAGGGAGATGTGGTAAGGGATCATTATAACAGGTAAGGATCAGTCATATATATGGTGTGATGTTCAGAACATAAGTACACCATGAAATAAAAATCATTATGTATTTTCAGAATCTGCTATGTAATTCAGGAGTCTGATCTCACTCTCTGCAATACGGAAGTAGTCAAGGTGAAGACTGTGCTCCAGGCTCCCCTTGCACTGGTGCTGGAAGCGGCCCTTAATCCTTGACTGAAGAGGAGAATCCTCAGTGTGGTTTTAGGGCAGGACTGCTGCTGGCCCCCATCTGCTCTAAGGGTTGCAAGACCTCTTTGATCAGGCCGTAAGCTCCTGATGTCAAGACTGTTTTGCAGCTGCTGGAAGCTAGCAGCACAGCCTTTCCCTCTTGCTTACAACAGTAAATGAGACAGACTCGGATAGCTTTATCCCATTTGTCCACTGCAGGATGCTCTACTTGCGCGAAACATTGCCAAACATACAAACACAGAACCACACTGTAAGCCTCAAAACACAGATCTGAAGCTTCAAGGGTCTGAAGCTTCATCAGCAATTGTGTAATCTAGAAGAAACAGGAGAAGGCATGTTTCTTCCATACCTATTTGCCCTAAGACAAATGAAAATGAAATCATTAGAGATGTGGTGCATCAAGATTTTTTTCCTGTGGTGGCATGGCAGTACCTACTGAAGATAGCAAAGTTAGTGCCAATTAGATCCAGGTGGGCAGCCATGTTGGTCTGAATGCCACTGGACGCAAACTTTTTTAGTGCCAATTCCTGCACCTTTAAACTACTGTGTTTTACCATGTCTAAAATGCATGAAATGTGGAATATATCCCATCAATAAAGACAACATCAATAAAGAGAATGCAATAGTGACAGGTTTCAATCTGGTTTCACTGACAGTGATTATAAAGCTGCAGAGTATTTGCAAAGTTCTATTCTGTATTGGTTCTGTCAAGACAACTACATTTTATCACCATACCAAGTTGCCATAGAAACACTGCACTGCCTCAAAATTATTTATTTTGGTATGCTAAATTCTGCCAACTGATGGCATAATGCATGGATTGAAATGTCATTCAGACCTTTACTTATTAAAGATATACCTTAAAAAGACCAAGATGCTAAATTGCTTGAACAGTTTTTGAACTGCCAGAGGATTAAGAAAGCAATCCTAAACAGGTTTACTCAGAATCCTACTCAAGCCTGTTGGGGCTCACTCCTTGGAAAGTGTTGTTAGGATTATACTGTAAAACATTTTTCATACTGCAAAACTCCCTAAACTTGCAATTGCAGTGAACTAGGGAGCTTCTGGAAGACAAGCAGCATTTACAAAAATGAAAA